GCTGCATCCTTCAACTTGTTAACTCGCGGGAAATTCCCCGATTTGCAAGGAATTTCGGTTTAAGTGGCAATCGGGGAATGAGCAATTTTTTCGGGGAACTGGGTGAGTTATTTTTATGTCTTAAAGTAACCAAATTGGACGGATATGTTAATTTTTAACCATTTGACCCTGTTTGCAGCGACATTTTTTCAATTTGAATCGCAATATCTCTATAACAAGAGTTTTCCCAGATATAAGCTACATACCAGATGAAAGCTAATGCTTCGGGCTAGATTTGTGGAAACCTAGAATACAATCGACTGACCAGTTTTTGAGAGGTAATAGCAATAATTTTACGATTGTAGAGGTATTAAACTGTAGGGAGATAAAGAAATAATAATAACAGATAATTTCGTTTTTATAAAATATGACTAGGTAAGAATGTTACTCATACGCCATGTATGTATGTACTATTAATGAAATCATAGGCATAACTATTTGTGTGGAGACTGTTTGTATTATGCCGCATTTTCATTTGACCATTTGCAACCTTATTTATCAATCAAGTCAATTACTTGGGAATCCATCTTGATCTCAGGTTTTCGTGGAAATTGCATATTAAAGCGAAAAAAAGTAAACTTGCATTAAAAACATTAAGAATGTACTGCGAGTAACTCAAACAGAAATACTACAGCGGTATCAAAATAAGGCCCTGAGAAGTATTGTTAATGCTCCTTGGTATGTCACCAACTATGCCACTCACCAAGACCTCAAAATTCCATTTTTTCAGGGAAGAAATCGTCAGACTCAGTGATAACACGATCTTTTTTTGTTGTTACTATCATAACAAGTTTTAATAATTATGTATATAAAATAATTACATTATCATTACAACAAGTTTTTATTTTGATGCAAGAAGACTAGCAAGTTAACCGAATCGGGGGCCAAACACGATCTTTTCGCCGTTACAATATTTCCAGCCGTAGAGAAGAGTCTTTCTGAGCCTGCTGAAGAGGCGGGAATGGCTAGATATCTCTTCGCCAAAGACGCAACTGCAGGGAGGGAGTGTTCTCTAGAGCGCCACCACACAAGCGGGTCCAATCTATTTGCTATCTCAGGTTCCGCTACATAGCGCTCAAACTGAGAGATTGTGTCTGACATTTGTTCTTCCGTAGCGAACAGGAAATCCAACTCTTGGTCGTCACATTTTCCGGACTCCTTTACGGTGAGCTCTGTCGTCGACATTTCAGAGATAATTTTTTTGACCTGAGCACGGACTTTAGCTGCCACACTACTATTTTCCACCTGGAGATCTTTATATCTCGGATCAAGAAAACAAGCTATCTGCTCTGGCAATACTTCAAAATCTTCAGAAGTGCAAGAGTCGTCTTCAAGTGTAAACCGCTTTTTGAGGGAATAAATAATACTGGACTTGAAGTTGGTCACAGGGTTACTGTCCTCGGGCTTTGGTCCATAGTGGTTACTAATTAAAGTTTGGACTACTGGGCGTTTTGCGGAAAATGTTACTTTGGTTTCGCTACATAAAAATTTTGTTGCTACGTGTAGCGGCTTTAAAAGTATTATTAAACCTTCCATTATACCCCATCCATGCTCGGATATCTCCAAATTGAGAGCCGTTGACGAGTTTGTGTATGCGTATTCCGGTACAGAACATCGCACATAAAATAAATGGAGTCCCATCGAGTAGGACAGCTTTGAACCAAACGTTCCTCGTTAATTCCTAGCTGTCTTTGTTTGTTAATTAAGGCTGTCGTAGCAATATTAGAATGTTTGAAATGGGAAACTATTTTCTGAGCTTTGCTTTGAATCATATTGTACTCCTCAATGTTTTGCAGTGCATCTTTAATGCACAACTGCAACGTGTGGCCTGCACAATTTATATTATCCTTATTCAAAAGGCGGACTGCTGCTTTCATGACGTTAGCATTATCATGAACGATAGAATGAACTTTGGTACATATATTCCAATCCTCTTGTACCATATCTAACATTATCGCGATGTTGTCACTGGTAGGGCGTTCTTCCATGCCAACAGTATTTAGCGTATGTGTACCCAAAGACCAGCTATAATCGATGTAGTGTACGGTCGTGGACAAATACCCTTCATGTGCCAATGAAGACCACTCATCAGTTGTCAAAGAAACTGATGATACTGTTTCTAATCGCTTTGTGATCTTTTCCCTCACTTCATTGTATGCAAGTCCCAAGCGAGATTTTATTGCCTGGGGGTAAGGCACCTTATATCCGGGATCAACTTCTTTCATGAAGTTAATAAATCCTTGACTGTGCGAAAAAGACAATTTCAATTGGCACATAGCTATCATTTTTGCGAGAGCTTTGGTAATATTCTCTTGTCTTTTTGACGGACAATGAGGCGTGGCTTCTTGCGATGACGATGATGATGAGTCCCTCGGTCTTTTAATTATAACACCTTCTTCATTGCTGTTTGCGGACTCGGGACTGAATGATTCATGTATGCTAGAATCAGAGCGTTCACCTTCGTTTTCATCTTCAGGCAAAAATCTAAATTAAACGGAACAGAGCATCAACTTAACTGTCTAGATTACAGACTTTGTATTTTTTGTTTTTTAATTTATGTCGTTTTAAGGGTGCCTTCTGTTATCATTTTGGTACATAAATTTATAATAGTATGCTCTGATAAAATAACCACAGAATTATTTGTTAGTTTTTCGGCACATACCTTTCCTTTACCGATACAGAAAGCTTGTGTTTCTGTTTTAAATGCTTGTGCACAGTTGAAGTGGATCCTCCATAATGCAACTTGGTGTCACATACATTGCACTTGACAAATCCGTCATTAATCACACAAGCGTACTTCCAAACCCAGCTTGTTTTAGGCATGTCTAAAATATTAATATTTACGAAGTTGGTAATGCACGTACAGATATCGGATCGGTAACAAATAAAATTATTGAGACACACCCACCTGCGAATCTAAACGATGACCGACAGTTGAGGCAATTTTTGTGTTGGAATGAAAAAAAATTTTAAAATTTCTTCCACAATTATTTCACAACAATACGTTCATCAACCTACTTCTCGTATTAAGGAAACTTCATTAAATAATTGTGATTTTAAAAGCTTTAAATATTATGAGAAAAGAAACTATAATTTGAACAAGCTGATACAATAAAAGTACAAAATCTTTAGGTGAATGAATAGCATAAGGCTTTGTTACCTTACTTTTTGTACCAGAAGTGGCCTACCACAGGGTTTAGTTCTTATATAATTCCCAATGAGAACGTTCTCGTCAGTTTTGTTCTCATTTTGGTTTTGGTTTTGACGCGTTCTTGGGAACAAAACTACGACAATGGCATTTAGTTTCGATCATACATTTCGTTCTCAGTCCCTGTTTTAAAATATTAATATTTAATATTCTTTAAAATATACATACATACATACATATGTACACATGCATGTATGTATATGCATTTACAAAAATTAGAAGTTTGAATTTAAGTACAGAAACTAATGTTTTAATTTACTTTTCTTGTCTCCGTCTACTCAGGCAAGCGGTTAGGTGTACATAGTCGCGTACACTCTAGACATAAAAAAATAATTATAAAAAAAAATTTTCTCACTGAAAAAATATTTATCCTCACCAAAGAGATTACACAAGAAGCTTTATGTCGCATTACCCGGGTGTTTTTCGTTTAACCGGCACCAACATATGTATATTACCCGGGTACCCGGGCAAATCGGGTAATACCCGACTACCCGGGTAATAAAAGCCCCGAGTAATACCCGGGTAATCGGGTACCCGGGTACCCGGGCATTACCCGAATTACCCGGGCACCCGGGTAATACCCGGGTAACCGGGTACCCGGGTATCATCAGCCCTAGTTAAAATGGTTAAAAATTAACATATCCGTCTAATTTAGTTACTTTAAGATATACAAATAATATACAAAGTTCCCCGAAAAAATACCCATTCCCTGATTGCTACTTAAACCGAAATTCCCTGCAAATCGGGGAATTTCCCACGAGTTGACTACGAGATCTACTACTATCAGACGATTACAGTTGTTTATTGTATCGAAAGTTGGTAGCAAGTTGATAAGTTTTTGTCATTTCTCATATTTCTTTTTTATTTTTCCGAATACAAAGGATGATCATTCTTTTTCGCTTTATTCCGTATTCGAAAAAGTATATGTTTTAATGGACACATCGATTTGAATACATAATTTAAATTTAGATAATATTTTTAGCAATTTATTTGAGAAAAATAAAGTATTTAGATTATCGTTTGTATTTTCGTCGATTTTAAATTTGCTCCCCCAAAATAATTGATATCAAATAAAGAACCTCTTTGAGGTAAAATTTTCGAGTGACGAAAACTGAACTAGAAACACAAAATTTATGATATCAATTTCGTGACGAAAATAATACGCATTTTTTAACTGCCTTTGAAACGTACGGAAAATATTTTTTTATTTATTCGGAACGTTGCGAAATTCCGTCTATTGCTAGAAATCTATATATATAAAAAGAAGTTACATTTCCTTGGTAATCTTATAACTCAAGAACCGCCGAACCGATTCCCACGGTTTTGCATTCGTTGGAAAGGGCTCGGGCTCCGTGAGGTTTGTGGCAAAGAAAATAGAAATATAGACCAAAACGTGGACCTGGGTAACCTTGGGTGTATTTGTTCA